AATGGGACGACCGATGCCAAGTTGCTTTCGAGTAGATCAAGCAATATTTACAGAACCCACATGTCTTGTCACCGCCTAAGCCGGGGAAACCATTGATTCTGTACCTTTCAGTGACTGAAACTACAATGGGCTGCATGCTTGCACAGGAGTCTGAGAACAAAGTGGAGAAGGCTATCTACTACCTGAGCAAGAAAATACTGGATTACGAGACCCGCTACACTCCGCTGGAGAAGGCTTGTCTGGCCTTGGTATGGGCTACCAGGAAGCTGGTGCACTACCTATTAGCTTACTCTGTAATACTGGTTTCGAGATTAGATCCCATTAAATATCTCTACGAGAAATCAGCACTTACGGGTAGGCTACCCTGTTGGTTGCTTCTGCTTTCCGAATTTGACCTGAAGTACATGACGCACAAGTCAGTGAAAGGGAGAGCGGTAGCGGAGTTCCTAGCCGATCACCTAGTTGAAGGGGATGAAGCAGTTGAGTATCTGTTCCCAGACGAGGCCATTCTGCATGTCGAAGAAAAGACTTAGACGATGTACTTTGACGAAGCGTCAAACCAATACGGGTATGGGATAGGGGTGTTGCTGATAGCACCCGACAATTCCCGCATACCCTTAGCATTCAAACTCTGATTCAAAGTGTCGAACAATGAGGCAGAATATGAGGCATGTATTGCTGGACTAGACACCGCCTGGAACTAGGGGCAAAACGGTTGGATGTCATCGGGGACTCAAACCTTTTTGTATCTCAAGCTAAAGGAGATTGGAAAGTTAAAGAAGAAAAGATGAGAATCTATCACCAGACCTTGAACGTTCTGATTCCTCGGTTTAAGAAACAGAATTTCACTCATTTGTTAATAGAGAACAACAGGTACGCTGATTCATTAGCAACTCTATCTTCTATGATAGACATCCCTTTTGGAGTCCGAATACGTCTGATCATCATCGAACAGAAATTCGTGCCGGCCTATAAGCTGATTGCTGCCATAGATGAGGTACAAGATGAGAATTCCTGGTATCACGACGTCTGGAACTTCTTGGAAAAGGAAGCGTATCCACCAGGGGCAAATGCCAAAGATAAGAGGGCAATTCGAAGAATGGATGCTCAGTTCATCGTCTGCGGGGGTAAACTGTACAAGAGAGGTCATCTCAGGATGCATAAGTTGTGTGTTGATGCTGAAGAATCCAAGCGCTTGATGGAGGCCATCCATGGAGGAGAGTGCGGAGCGCACATGAGCGGGGTGATGCTAGCCTGGAAGATCCTTAGACAGGGTTATTACTGGTCCACCATGGAGGACGATTGTATTTGCTTTGTCCGGCGATGCCACAAATGTCAGATCCATGTAAATCGCATGAACATTCCGCCGTAAAAGCTGTACAACATGACTTCGCCATGGTCGTTTTCAGTCTAGGGGATTGATGTGATTGGGGCTGTTACTCCGAAGAGGTCTAACGGGCATAAGTACATTCTGGTAGCGATAGACTACTTCACGAAGTGGGCCGAGGCCCAATCTTACGCAGTGTTAAAGGCATCGTACATTGCTAAGTTCATTAGAAACAACATCATCTATCACTACGGGGTCCCAAATGAGATTATTTCAAATAACGGTTCCCACTTCAAGAAGAAGGTGATCGACTTGTTGGAGAAATACAACGTGGCTTTTCATAAGTCATCTACATATCGACCGCAAACCAACGGAGCAGTTAAGGCCGCCAAGAAGAACATCAAGCACATTCTGCAGAAGATGGTGGAAACCTACAGGGACTGGCCAAATAAGCTGCCATTTGCTCTTTAGGGCTACCGGACTTCAATTCGAACTTCTACTGGAGCAACTCCGTATTCCTTGGTTTATGGGATGGAGGTTGTTCTGCCTATCGAAGTTGAGGTTTCGTCATTATGGGTACTGGCTGAGTGTCAGATAACTGAGGCAGATTGACAGATTGGCAGCAAAGCAAGTTCGAAGAACTCATGCACTTTGATGAAAGAAGGCTGAAAGCACTGTATCACGTCCAGGGTTATCAACGAAGAATTGCCAGGGCTTTCAACAAGAAGGTTAAGTCCAGGAATTTGAAAGAAGAGGATCTAGTGCTCAAAGACAACCGAACTCCCATCCATGACCCTAGGGGCAAGTTCAGATCCAATTGGACTAGCCCTTACATCATCAAGTCTATCTGGTCAGGTGGAGCTGTCCTTCTGATGGACCTAGATGGCCTAGAGTTCTCCCAGCCAATCAACATGGACAAGTTGAAGAAATACTTTCCCTGAGTGGCTCACTAGGCCGAAAACCCGAAAGGGCAACCTAGGCAAAAGTTAGAGCACAGAAAATTTGAAATTATAAAAACTGAGCTCGGAAGGTTGAAAACCCAGAAAGGGCAGCCTTGGCAAAAGTTAGAGCGTAAAAGGAGAGGGTTAATACGCGAGTGAACCTGAACCGAACTACGTAAGGCTTGATTCCCATCTTCGGAATACGTAGGCAACTTCATTCTGAAGTCCAGCCATAAATACTTCCAAATCGACTTTGTCCATGTGATCATGTTGGTCATCTTTGTCTATTCTGCATTCAAGAGCTCGATTGTGATCTCCAGTGCAGTGCTATTCAGACTACGGGCAACTTTCCAGTTGCTTGGATCCGGGGTTGTACATCTCGGTGATAGATCTTGAGCGTGTCCAGTTGTGATCCATATCAAAAATGGTTTTGAAAAGTTTTAATAAAAGTTGATTTTGCTCAAATTAATTTTTACAACTTAAACCATTTTTGGACCAGACGAAAAATTTTCAGTACCCATAACCTTCAATTACATTGATTTTAGTACAGAGTTTTCCTGCTCTTGAATACAAATTGAAGTTGATTTTTATTACATTCATAAGAAAACTAGAAAGTACTGATAAAGCAAATAAATTCAAGGTATAGTCAGGTGTTCCTGTGCCCCCTCCCAGAGCTGGTCGAAGCCTCTAATGCCAAAGTAAGCCCAACCTGCGCCTCTTCATCAAGCCAAGCTATACACTTATCAGGAAGGGTGCAACTGAAAATGGGAGCGGGGGCCGGAAGTTCTCTCGTCCTCCATGTTATGGCATACCAAGCTAGTTGTGCGCCTCGAACTGGAAATATAGCAGGGTACTCTATCCCTTCTTCCGGGCAAGTCTAACCATGACCAAATTGACGCCAGATTCGAAACGGGAAGTAAAGGACACAGTGTGTCAGACCGATCAATTGAATCCCGGCTAGCGAGTCATGTTGTAGCTCATTGCCAATAAATTGAGCCTGGGGCAGCGCCAAGCAATGTTGAAAGCGGATAGACTACACATCCATTCGCGCCACCATCCCTCATCAGGGGCATCGACTAGACGTCGCCGGAAAAAATAACTGCGAGCTGAATATGTTGGGCATGAGTCCATAACCTTCAACTTATCCATCAACCATATCTAGGGAGGGATGAAAAATGAGAGATTAAAGAATAGATAGGTGTACGTGGAGAGAAAAGTGAGAAAAGGGTTTTGAGAGAAAAATCAAGCCTGAGGGCCGAGTGATGTGAGAAATATATGTAAGATAGGGTAGAAAACATTACCTGCAGCAGTAGTGGACTCCCCGCGAATCTAGTCGTCCTTCGGTGATAGAAAGCATCCAAACCCATCAATGTCTCAGCTAGCGTCATGGCGATGCAGCTCCTGCCTTCTTTCAAGCCTTGGGCAACCTCAATCAAACGGGTGCTAAACCCACCGGAGCCTGGGGCAAGCAAGAAATGAGAAAACATGCACAAGTAGAGCGCATGTTGTCGAAAACCTTACCAGTCATGATCGCCGCGGTCACTGGCATCAGAAAACCGACGAATCAAGCTCGGAATGTCTAGCTCTTCGTTGCGAATCAATGACCGAGCGTCATGTAAAGTAAGCCCGCACATCCGTCCTAAGGCTTGGACGTAGCCAAAGCGGAGCTGCGGCAAGATTTCTTCATCGCGCTCGAACTCCATCAAAGTTTGGAAGTCTTCAAAAGTAGGACATATCTCTTGTCCACCAAAGCTAAAAACATGAGTTACCGAATTCCAACACCTTGCCGCAGCATGAAGAAACGGAAAACGCAGCGGGGTGTGGCTCAACGTGAATAGTGCATTTATGTCGAAGCCTCGAAAATTCAGCTTTTCCGAGCCATCCAAGTTAGCAATCCAATTTGTGAGATTTTGGACAAGAAATGCCTCCATTTGGTGCAAAAACTGAGTTGAAATGGAGAAACTACGAAGCTGGGGCTTTTGTAGAAGATAAGGTGTTGAGTGGAAGACAAGTGGTAGCATTCTGGAGGTTCTTGCCATTTTTGGCCGATCGGTCAGTGATGATGGCCGACCAACCATATTTTTAGCCGATCAGCTAGTATTGGTGGCCGATGGTCATTTCTTGTGGCCGATGGCCTTCTACTCTGGCCGATGGCCTCTCCTTTTGTCCTCTGAAGCTGTCCATGTGTTGGAGGTGTTGAGAATTGGTGAATTGTTCCACTTCAAATGCCTTTCGGTGACGATTTTGCGAAGTCGCTCCTGTGTTACTTCAATTTGTTTATCAAGTTGTTGTATTTCTGCTTATTGAGTTGTTGTATTTTTGTTTATTGAGTTAAGTTAATTGTTAAGTTCGTGTCTTGCTTATCGAGTTGTATTCACTTTTTGGTTAGCATGTCAAGTCCTGTTTTGCTTCTCAAGTTGTTTTGTCTGTTGTCAGTTAGTTCACTACCTGATTAAGGCAATGCAATCCGAGTGTGCAATTTTCAAACAGAGTTCAATCTCATTTACATTGTTATGTGATGCGATGCGATGCAATGCAATGCTTAGAATGTACAAATGTAACACTTTTTTCGATAAAAAAGATGTTTTTCATTCCATCATGTTTTCTTTTACAAAAGAGTACAAAGTTTTAAAGAAAATAAACCTGTCTGAGGCAGTACAATGTGCAAAAACTACAAGTAAAAAGAGAAATAAAGCAAAAAAACAAAACATCTGAAATCGGCGCCGATCACCTCAATTGCGGGAATCCCTCCTCGTCCTCTTCCTGGACGAAGGTCCAGGATCACCACCGTCAACTCCATTGCCTGAGTCTGAGCCCGAGCCATCTCCAACCTCATCCTGAGACGTCTCTGCCTCCTCATCGAACTCATCGTGATTTGGGGCCGGCGCCCGCGAACTACTCTCGAAGTGAGCATGCCCAACTCTGTTGCGGCTGCGCACTGGAGTCCCTCGTCCTACTCTCCCTGCTGCTCGGGGAGGTACTGATGGTCCCGCTGAGGCACCCGCTGTGGTCGGTTTCTGGAATGGGGCTTGAAAAGAACATTTGACAAATGCATCAGTTATGCTATGCGAAACTGAGTATGGTATCAAATGCAGTTTATGATTACAGTGTATGAATGCCGTGAGCAGTTTATGATTACAGTGTGTGAATGTCGTGAGCAGTGTATGATTGAAGTGTATGAATGCCATGAGCAGTTTATGATTACAGTGTATGAATGTTGTGAGCAGTATATGAATGCCGTGAGCGGTGGATGTTGGCAGTATATGAAGGTCGTGGCCCGTGTATGAGATGCAGTGTATCAGTGCCGTGAGTGGTATATGAGTGTGGTGTATCAAATACAGTGATAATCTGATGCATGAAATGCAGTATGGAGTAGATTGTACAGAGCGTTTTGGGACGGGGGTTCAAAGAACTTACCAGAATACCGTAGATACTCAACAGGTTCATACTCCTCTGAAGCATCCCCATCACTGAAGCCGTCAGCTCCAAAGCCTGCCCAGTGTACTCGATGGAAGCCTACAAAAGTGTTGAGGTAATTAGTATTCTACGGGATATCAACTGAAATGAAATGACTGTACAGAATATAAAGTATAGCATATACTAGGGTCGAGCCTCAAACTCTGACGAGTTCATGATCAGCCGGGGGAGGAGCAATGGGAATCTGATAGGTCTCTCCCACCTGTCCTCGGCATGTCATGGTAGTGGGTAGGTATGGCCACTCCACTCCTCGTCCCCTCCGGGAATCCCTCCTACCATGGGCCCGGGTCGCCCTCGATCCTCCCGCTTCCCTTGCTGTGGCTAGAGGTCTCTCTCTCTCACCTCGTCGAGCACTGGCCAGAGGCCGCATGAGATGTGTCTGAATGAAGACGGTGTAGTCGCCCTCATCTCTGAAAAAGTCGGCATCCCAACCGATCGTGAAATCGGTCATCTCCTGTGGGGTGTAGGTCACCATATGCCTCATGTGCGAGGGAGGTGGCATCGGGACTATCTGCTCTGGAAAACCGAGGCTCTATCGCAAGAAACACTCTCCCAAGTACCATGCCCGACAGACTAGACCCTCGAGCAAAACTCGGAATCAGGCAGTCTCCCGAGCACCCATGTACTGGTCTCTCACTGTATCAGGCAGCACCGCCCAGGGCTGCCAAGTGATCTGCAAATGGCAGAATGTACTGTTTGTTATCTGCTGTTGAAAGTGCAATGTAAAGCAAAGCTTAAATGAATTATAAGGTTTGAAATACCTTTCCTGCGGTTATAGTGTCAAAGTATCTGCAGAAAAAAAAAAAAGACTCTCGCGGCCTCCGCTCGCATCTCGCATCATACCTGTGAGAATATGGAACAACGGGGGGCATCTCTACCTCCGGCTCGGGGGCAAGCCTCGGGAAGTAGCCATATACCCACAACTACATAACGTAAAAGGGTGATAATAAGTATGTTTATCAGTAAAGCAGAATACAGATAAAGCAGAATCCAGAGAATGGTGTACAGTGTATTGTGCAGTGTGTGCAGTGTACAGCCAGTGCAAGGCAAATTGCACGTATCCAATGTGTGTGGTGTACAGATAGTGTAAAGTAGAACTGTAAAAACAAAAGGGAAAAATGTACCTTCTAGGCTTGCCAGTAGCCTCCTAGCAGATGCCCGCTCCGGCGAGATGAGGAGCTCATGTATCCATACAGTGTGGCCAATCCTGCGCCACCCCATTCATAGCGTCGGATCTGGGTCACGTCCACCAACGCGCTTAACAGATAGAGGCCAACAGTGTTCGCCCGGTCGGTGAAGAGAGTAGTGCCCAGCATGAACATAAGGAACCCTCGGGCATAATGCTCGACCTCCTCCTAAGTCGTCGGCGTCTATACCTTGAATTAGTCCTCGAACCATGAATATCTCATGAACCCTAGTCGGGAGAGAGGTGGACGAGTGCCAAGCAAGAAGATCTGGGCAGCATCCCACTCGCCCATGTCGGTGTCGAAAGGGATCGAATCACCCCCTACTCCGATGCCAGTGAGCATGGAGAAGTCGAAAGGAGTCATCGTCATCTCCCTTGCCGTGGAAAGGTGGAAGGAATCGGTGGTGTCCCACCACCTCTCCACTAGCGCGCCAAGAAGTGGCCTACTCACAGTGAAGCACAAGAGTCCCATGCAAAAAATGCCAAAACCGGCCTCGTCGACGATATGGAAGACCTCATCGGGTAGCTCCATGTACCAACCCCGGGCAATGGTGTTCCCATAACCCCGGAAGGCATGGAAATCTCCCTGTGTTCAAGACAAACAAATGCGAAGCAATGTCAGAAATACAGTGTTTGAATGCATTCAAATTGATAAAAATGCAGTGTGTGTGCACATGTTCGGGATGACACAGATATCATGTATGAATGTGCTCAGGGTGAACTAAGCATGTGATGTACAAGTGTGTTTGTGATGATCAGATAAAGAGCAGTATCAGCTATCCAAGACATGTGACCTACACTGTAGAAAGTAAAGAGGAAGAATATACCTCAGCGGCACCGTAGGACAAGTGTGACTCCGGCTCGTATAGCAGGAGGTCCTCCGGAGCACCTCGCGCGAAGCTCCTGAACTGGAGAATGATGTCAGGAGGCAACACATGTACCTCGGGCTAGTATGTCGCTGGGTCGAAAGGTTGAACACTGAGCGGCAAGAGCTCGAACTCCGGATCCACCTCCATCCTTGGAGGAGCCCCACCTGTCATGACCCAAACGCGCCCCTATGGGTTAAGGCCATAACCGGCCAGTAATCACGAGATTACCTACGGCCTCAAACCAAATAAAGCAAAACTCATTATAGTAAAGGGGCCAAACGGAAGCAATTCAAACCTTTGTCCATAGAGCTGTGCTTACATGGCACATCCAAACAACCAAACATATATACATTAATAACTCACAACAGAAGTACAGTGGCATAAGTTCTGTACAGACAGGATCATATAAGTCTAGGTCAACCCATCAAAACTATATACAGGTATATACAAAGTCCTCGCCAACATGACAAAATAAACAAGACAATAAAAGGGCGAAGACGGGTCTCATGCGTGAGACGTTTGGGCTGACTTTTCAAAACTTCGGCTGTTTCTCACAATTTCACCGGGGCTAGTTTTGGACGTCCCTTGGCTCACCTACATGTACATGAATGAGCGTGAGCAAATGCCCAGTGAATAATATCAAATGAGGAAGATACATAAGCAATCATTGAAACAGTTACAGCAGACGGCCTTTGGCCTAATCATTTATATCTATCAGCCTTTGGCCCAATCATTTATGTCAGTCGGCCTTCGGCCCAACCATTCATGTCAATCGGCGTTTGGCCCCATTATCCATGTCAATCGACGTTCGGCCCCATTATCCATGTCAATCGGTTGTCCATAATTTAAACTAGCGAACTTGTAAAGAAATTAGCAATTGGACAATTGACAAACTTCAAAATATCGATGTTACTCACAGTGATCGGTTGGTTGGTTTGCCCGGGAGCTTGACCCTACACAGTCCATGAACACAAAAGGGTCACCAACAATTCAATCCGTTCTTAAATTCACATTTTCCTTTTCAGGCTTTATTCTTATCTCTTTAACTCAATTATAATGCTCAATGCATGCCTACGAGTACTTAGAAGTGAAGGAGAACGGAAAATGAAACACAGAACGCATAAACAAAATTTCACCAAACAGGGTCCCCACTCGAGCGTGGACTTCCCTGCTCGAGCGAACCCAATTGGTCTGCAAAAGTGCTGGTTGCATCAAATCCACACTCGAGCGTGAACTCGGGTGCTCGAGCAAAAGGTCTGTCTACATAGCTCCCCGCTCGAGCGTGGACTTCCCTGCTCGAGCGAGCGCCATGTCTGCAAAATATGCTAGGAGCTCGTATTTCACGCTCGAGCGGCAATTTCCCCGCTCGAGCGGACGTCAAGAATTCTGGGTTTTCCAGAATGTGTTCTTGAGCTCAAAACGACCTCCAAAGGTTCCATACTCAGAATCTTGGTTCCCAAACATGCAAATACATTAAATACCATGAGTACACAAGTAATAGGAGGCCAATTGCTCAAAATCATGGTCACATTTCTTCAAAATCAATCAACATTTTTGGTATACTCATGGCTCAAGCTTTCAAATCTCATATAAGTTCATAAATCAAACATGCATGCAATCTTCTAATTCCAATTCCATTTCAAAAGATGCAAATAGTGTCTATTCTCATAAAGCTCAACAAAACCAAGCTTAAATGTATGATCAAACATCCAATCTTGTTTAATTGGCATGCTACATGCTAGATTATGCAAACTTATGGCAATTGATAGCAATTCTATGCATGCATGACCATAACTCATCAAAATCAACACAACTCATGATTTAGCTTACCAATTAATCTTGAATTCACAAAATCACAAGCTCAAACTTAAGAATTTGGGGTTGATTACTCACCTAGGAGCTTTAATTCTCACAATCTATGGCAGATTCTTGAGTTGGACTTCAAATTCACAAGCCTTTAAGCTCAACTTTGATTCTCCTACACTCTCTCTCTCTCTCTCTAGTTCGGCCTCTCCCTCTCTCCTAGAGTGATTTCAGCCAAGATGAAATAAAAGAGAGGTATTAAGTGTATAAAGGCCCCCACTCAGCACACTATTCTATTATAAAACAATTAGGCACTAATTCATTAATTAAATCAATTAATTTTGATCTAAATCAATTTCCAATCAAATTTCACTGTAGGCCCTAAAAATTACGCTAATCACAATGGCGTAATCAATTTCGGGTTCTGTGGCCGATAAGGCCTTCAATTTAATTTCCAAAGCAGATAATCAAACAGATATTCCTACGGTGAACTAATAGAAATTCAAAACCACATATTTTCACATAATGGCACACAAAATCATATTAGACACATAATCATACTCATATTAAGGACCAATTAACACCTTACGGAACAGGGATATCGCAGTCTTCCCCCCTTTAGGAAGTTTCGTCCTCCAAACTTAATTTACCATCGTCGAGAAACAAATGTGGATAGCGTAGTTGCATTTCCTCTTCTTTTTCCCATGTAGCATCCACCCCATAATGTTCATTCCATTCCACTTTCACCATTGGGATGGACTTGCTTCTCAATTGTTTCACTTGCCGATCAACAACTCATTCCGGCCATTCGGCGTATTCCATATTTTCATCAATAGCTACCCGGTGATAATCAATCACATGAAACAGGTCTCGGAGGTAACCCCTCAACATCGACACATGAAACATGTTATGGATTTGTTCGAATCCTGGTGGCAAAGCAACTCTATAGGCAACTGGACCAAGCCTTTCCAAAATTTGAAACGGCCCAATGCAACGGGGCGACAACTTGCCCTTCTTTCCAAACCTGACTTGGCCTTTCATCAGAGAAACACAGATGAACACATGGTCACCAACCTCATATTCAAGAGGTTTTCTCCGAACATCTGCATAATTCTTTTGTCAGTCTTGAGCTGTTTTGTGCCTTTGCCGAATGATCTTGACTTTCTCAGAAGTGTCTTGCA